TTTAGGAATTGAATTGTCTGTATGTATGAGTGTGGTGTATGTGTCATGGAATTCCAACCAGTCCTGGTAGCGTCCTGTGTAGGTAGGTATATTAATAACGGGAAGCTTCAGCATTGAACAACCCCTAGATACCGAACCAGCAACCGAACCTGTACCCGTCTCAGCAATCGCAGGCGCAGAACGTGTGAGTAGGTCTCGAGCGGTAGCAATCACGCCGAAGTATTGTGTTTCAAATGTCTCGCGGTCTTTGTACTGGTCATCTGGAATTTCAGATAAGTTTTCTATTTCAATTTGCGTGCAATCAAAGTCGGAATAAAGTTCTTCAATTTTGGATAATCTCAAATTAAGCTCATTAATTTGTAAATTAGAAAGAGAATCACATGATTGAATGACATTTAAGTATGAGGAAAATTGCGTGAGTCTAGCTTTATAGCTGCCACGCTTTTTTATTAAAGATTTTAAATCCATTGGATACTATTTAGAGGTGTATTTACTATTGATAAAGTAATTTAAAGTTAATAAAAATAAAGACACAATATGTAATTGATTAGAATGTGAAAGTTGAAAGATACAGGTTAGTACGTAAAAATAATGCAATACTTAAATTTATAAAACCAAAGGGTAGTTAGCGGTGACGCGTGAGTCACGGCTAATGCCGCCAGGTAACTGATAAGCGGGTCGACGACGCAACACTGCAATGAGTAAAAAATAGTTAAACATTAATAGGTATCTATGTAACAAACAAGCATCCTATTAAGTACTTTAAACTTTAATGACTCTGTAGAAATGTATATAAATATGATAAATGATATCTAAAATCTGTAACTAAAGACAAATTCTAGGCCAGTAATGATTTAATAATAATATTACTACAAATTATGTTTGACTAATGATGATTTTACTATTTTCATTTACACCTACGTGCAAAATGATACGATTATAGTGAAACGAAATGATATTTATGTAAAATGGTTAAATAATTACGTTATTTATATACTGAGATGATTTAATTAAATGTTTAAATTATTAACTTAATGGATATGTAACAATTTAAAGCAATTTTCTCAAAAACTAAGAATAAAATGGATACGGGTGGGTATTATGAATATTGGAACGAACTCACTGATCACTCTGTTACACTTCTTACGTATGTATTGATCCCTTTGATGATGATCCCTGTGCTTATTTGTTGAATGCGCATGAGTGCTAGACCGTCCTCTTCTTAATGTTATGCAATCCAAGTAAAGTATGCATTCTTTTGTTCTGCTTGACTGGTTCCGAATGTCGCCTCGCCACGCGGTCAATGCTTGATGCGTAGATGCGCAGATGCACGATCTCGGTGATTAATGATATTTAATGATGATATCCGTCGATGAAGGTCCAAAAATGGGCAGTTAGATGCTACTTTTGCTTGTATTTTAAATAAAAATGCTATATGTCTTAAAATGATTTCGCTATTGAGTTAATAAAAAATATACAAAAATAATGACTGGACGGTGTGACGATTTCAAACGCACTGCCGTAGTTGGGTGCAGTAGGCACGCTGGATGTATTTGTGTGAACATCAATACGAAGCGTTAACACAGACCAAGAATATAAAATTGAATATAATACAGTTATTTTATTTTTATTTATTTAGTACTCTTTATTACACATGAAATAATTACAAATCTAATTTATATACTACTAGCAGACCCGGCCACGTCTTGCTGTGTCTAAGGTTCTTGAATAAAATAATATTGCAACTATAAATCGAGATGTAAGTTATCCTATATTTCAAGTTGGATCAAATTGCACACAATGTGCAAATCAAAGTTGCAGTAGTTTTAGAGTCCATCGCGGACAAACAGCGTGATACGTAATTTTTCAGGTAAGATCATCTTTTGTGCCTTTTATATATAGAAAAATTACGTGCCAATTTTTCTATATATAAAGATAAAGGCACAAAAGATGATCTTACCTTCTCTTTCAGACAGTCTTTGGGTAGTGTAATAAAGACAAGATGGTGGTAGGTAGCGCATGAATGAAGGAACCATATACATATAATAATAATATTAATTTTTATGTACATTTCCATAATCCTTATACCTATTGTTATATATTGTACTATAAACTATATATGTGTATATCTCAATATGACAAAGGCATGGTTACTATATTTCTAAACAAAACGAAACCCTCTCTGAAAAAACTTTAAAAGATGGATAAATCTTTTAGAGTTACTTCTCTAAAATCACAACGGATTTTTATAAGGTTTTCACTATCTATACATATAATAAAACAGTAGGGGTCGAAGTCTGTACAAGAAAACGCCCAAAACCGAGTCAGAGGGATGTTAGAAGTGAAATAGAACATTTAGATTTTTCACAAATTTATTGTTTGTCTCTCCGTTTGTCGGTTCGTCTGTTGGAATAGGCTGATATCCGAAACCGCTGGACCGATTTAAATGAAATTTGCATGGATGTAGCTCACATCCCACGTCAACATCTTAGATACTTTTAATCCCGGAAAATTAAGAAGTTCCCGTGGGATAGTAAAAAAAATTTTTATATAGTAACTATTATTTATTTTCGTACACAACCTACTTAAAGGAATTTTGATCTAATGCAAAAAGTGAGAACAACACGTCATTTGGTAATTTTAGTCCAAAGTCTAGATAGATACATATATCAATACATACTAAATAAGTTTAATAGTTTGTAAGACAAACCCGTGAAAATTTGCTGGCTTTCTCAAAAAATGAGACTTTACATTATAATAATAACATTCAGTTTTGTTTAGTTTAAAGCAAAGGCTTTAGCAGCTTTAGAGACTCAGAAACTGTATTCACTCTCTAAAAAATCAATAGATGGCGCTATTCGTTAATGTAATGAACTTAAATGTTTCGACTTTGTCATGAACATTTTCTGATTTATTGCTAAAAATTGACCAAGGAACGTATTCGGAAGAAGAAGGGCAAAGAGTTTTATTTGATATGTTATAAATATAGGGTACTTGAATTAATAATCAGCGTTTTTTTTTTCGAAGTTTACGGATTCGTTTTCAAATAATAGTTCCAAATATATTAATCGAAGAATTGTCTATCGCTGGCCACTACCTTTTTCCATCTTTCTGGTAATTTTCGGATGCCAGCTCGAAAAAAATATTCGTCTTATGAGGCAATGCAATCATTGACCCATTTTTTGGATTGTTCATATGAAGTGAACTTCTGCTGGGTCAGACCCATGTGTCATCGACTGGAATAAGTAATAGTCAGAAAGAGCAATGTCTGGAGATTACAGCGGGTGAGGTAGGACTTCCCGTTTCAGAGTTTCTAGGTAGATTTGCTGCAAAATCACTTTGTTGTGCCTTTCTTCGAATTTTAGCCGATTTTGTTTCAGTATGACGCTTATTCGCATGAGTTGAGTCTGATAGCATCATCATCATCATCATCGCAGCCCGGAAGACGTCCACTGCTGGACATAGGCCTCCCCCAAAGATCTCCACGACGATCGGTCCTGCGCTGCTCGCATCCAATGCCTTCCAGCGATCTTGACCAGATCGTCGGTCCACCTTGCTGGAGGCCTTCCCACGTCTGATATAATATATAATGCAAGTCTGATAGCATTCCCCCGTAATTTTATCATTCGGTTTGAACAGCTCAGTAGTAGATGACGCTGCTGGTCCCACCAAATACAGAGCATAAGCTTCATGCCATGAATATTCGGCTTTGCGAAGAATGTTGATGACTGTCCGGGCAGTCCCATGACTTTTTGCTCTTGAGTTATCATAACGAATCCACTTTTCATCGCCAGTGATAATGCGATTCAAAAAGCCCTTCCTTTTTTGGCATGAAGAAGAACTCCCCGCAAAAACACTTTATCTGGTACATAATTGGTCATGTTCGAAACAATATTTAGTATATATAATAGTTGTATACGTTTCAACCAAATGATACTAGCTATTTAGACAACCACAGAGTATAGGTTTTAGCGGGAAGACATTACAAACTGGAATATTGAAACGTACACTAGTGGCGGCCTCTTGATCGAAACGCTCATTATTAATTCAAGTACCCTATAAGTATTCTATGTACCTGAGGATATTCAGTTATAGGTATATACAAATCCTATATATAATATTATAAATGCGAAAATAACTATGTTTGTCTGTTTGACGCGATTTCACACCGAAACTACTGAATCGATTTAAATAAAATTTGAAAACAAAGATGAAAGTTGTATAAAAATATCGTCATTTTTTAAGTTGAACGATGAAACTTTTTTGGGTTATAATCTAATATTTCCTTTATTTGGCGAGGTCACTATTCCACGCGGAGAAAGTCGCGGGCACAGCTAGTAACTGAATAATAATGTTCAAGTAGAATGTTTCACATAAAAAAAACACTTAACATCTATACATTATTTTTATTCTAACCCCCTTATTCATAAAAAGCAATACGTTCTATAATCCCATTGTATCTCTTGACTTTTACTAGTAGATAACTAAAGTTATAGTAGAGTCGTTCAGGCTACATTTATTTTGAAATTTTATTAAATAAAAGTTAAATGTCAGGTGGACGAAGTCACAGGTAACAGCTAGTTACAAATAAAAGGACAACACAGTCAATAGTTAAATAAGTTTATCAGAGGTGTGATTTTTTCTAAATAAAACTTTTAAATGTATAAAGAAATTCAAATAATCTTTCATATTCAAATAATAATCTTAATGTAAGCACATTTTTTAATCTACCACTCATTCGGAACACAGACTCATCACATGAAGCCAAGAAATTAGCCAGAAATTTATTTGTTGCCGTTTTTTTTTAAATTCGTTGTAATGTCGTTCAGAATTACTTTTTTAAGAATTTTCTGTAAATACAAACAATCGAATAGCAAAGTTGAAATAAATAGTTATTTCGGTATCAAAATAATTCAGACATATTTATCAGAGCAGACCAGTAGCTACAAGCAGTACCCGTTCACGAGTATGACGGGCCAGACAGCTAGAAAATTCTTATATTATGTCACAGGAATGTTTACAGTTGCTTGGAAAATGTTATTGACATTTCTCTGAAAGAACTGCAGTATTATAATGGTGTACGAAGTAAGACTGAAGAGCAGTTTGAAAGGCAACTTAGAACCAACGTCGAACACGCCGCAGGCACTCAGTCTACTGAACATAGAGGTAGTAAATACTTGTACGTCCTTGCACATTTTTTTTGTTTCTGCTGTAAATAAGTTGGTGTATTAGTACAATTAGTAAAAAAAATTAAATTATCTGTTTGTAATTGCAAATTAACAGCTTTTAGTAAAAGCATATGAAAGTATATATATATATACAGTAATATACACGGTCTTTACAAAAATAATATTTTATAAATATCGGTCTATCTATTTGTTCTTGCTTAGCTCTAAAACGGTTGGACCTATTTTGACGGGATTTTAAATTGCAAATATAAATAGTAACTTAGGCTACTTTAATTTTAGAAATTTTGTTTATTTTTAAGGAAAGATAAATTCCACGCGTACAATTCGTTGGTAACAGCTAGTATGTAAATAGTATAATTTAAAGTCACAGTTTTTGTCTGTCTGTCTCACCAGTTACTTCTAAAACACGTAACGGATTTTGATTTTCACAAATTTTCACAATCATTATGATAATTTCTTGTGGAAGTTTTTGCTATATAAATGTATATAATTATAACTATTTAGTTGGAGAAAGCGTTTGTTAATTATAAAACCAACAATGTACCATATCTTTTACTTTAAACTAATCTCATTTATTATTACTAGCTAACCCTGCAAACGTTGTTTTGCCATATAAATTAAAATCACTGTTAAAAAATAGGAGTTGGTGATAGACGGGAGAAAATTTTGTACTGTATGTATTTTTAAATCAAAATTATAAAAAAAAATTTACCAAAAAATAAAAAATTAATGTTAGACAACCCTTATCACTTAGGGGCATGAAAAATACATGGTAGCCGATTCTCAGACCTACTGAATATGCATATAAAATTTCATAAAAATCGGTCCAGCCGTTTCGGAGGAGTATCATAACCTACCCAACATTATGACACGAAAATTTTATATATACTATACTATTATAAAAAAAGAACTTTTTTTTGTGGTTTATTATAATTAAGAAACCGAAATAGACTGTACAAAGTTGCAAATGTGAGTACTTCTCTCTCGTCTAGATTAGACACAGATACAGAGAATAGACACTCTACAGAGTGTTATATGATGACGTGATGGTCATTGTGCTGCTATAGGCGACGGGTGCAAGCAGATGACCCGTCAGTTATCTGCCATTCAAATTCAAATTCAAAATATCTTTATTCATGTAGGTCTATTACAGACTCTTATGATATATTTATTAAAATAGTAAAAGACTTCACAAAGATCGATACCTGTGACTTTCTTGGATTTCATAATGATACAGTTGGCGTGTACATCGCTTATAGCCGAATAAAACCTTTCAAATGTTACACACATATATGAGAAAATGAGGAAATTCTTCAACAGCCATATAGCAACAGATGCTATTGCCATTTGCTGGATTATCTGAAAAAAAAAATGTTTTATAACAATGTCAATAGAAATAGAAATAATCTTTATTCAAATAAACTTAATATAAGCATTCTTGAATACTCATATTTTTTTGATCCTGCCATTTATTGGAACGCAGACTCTTAGATAATAATTTCAAATAAATTGTATATGTTGATTTGTTCTTCCTGATCTCTGAAAATGCTTTGGACCGATTTTGACGGAACTTTCACTCTCAGTTAACTAAAGAAGTAACTTAAGCTTACTTATAGTATATAATTATTTATTATAGAAATGTTAATTATTATTGTTATAAAAAGATTAAAATTATATATGAGTAAGTACTTTTAATCTATCTGATTGTTTACTTAGTTATAATTATAACTTCAAATTGATCTAATTAATTGATATAAATATATTTTTTGTATGACTATTTGCACTGAATTATTACAATAATTATATATAATATGGATGTAATCTATATATATATAAATAAAATTGAAGTGTCTGTTTGTAATATTGAAATAACCGTTTTTTACTACGTGCATATGAATATAAATACGGTATATACACCAAAATAACATTTTTTTAAATTTTTGTCTGTCTGTTTGTTCCGACTAATCTCTGAAATGTCTGGACCGATTTTGACGGGACTTTTATTAATAATAAAATTAAATTGTAAATATTTTCGTAACATGATTTTTTATGATATGTTATAGTTTTTTTTGAGTGTTTTGTACTATTGTCAGGTGCTTAGGTCTATAGCACTGCGGCCTTCTAAATGTCAGTTGTTTATAAAAAAAATCTTTTTATAAGTATACTCACTGTGCTATTTGTTAAATTCTCGCATAGAAGTATCATTTTATAACTAAACAGAAGAGTGTGAAGAAATATTACACAAGCCTTGTAAAATATCTGAAATTGAAGATCTATAATTATTTTCTTATTAAAAATATAAATAAAATACACGATCGTGATATCTTTATATATATATAATATATATATATTACTTTTAAATTATTCAAAGGATTTTAATTCAATTTTCAGCAATAGATAGAGCTATTCTAGAGAAAGGTTTATATGTATAATACATGCATGTTACATGTTATAGTATAGAACAAGTCGAGGAATTCAATCATTTGTATGATCATAATGCATCCTTGCAAAGCTTTATAAATAGTCGTCTCCTTGAGTAACTCAATATTAATAACCTATTTCGGCCACTAAGAATGCTTTGTTAACTGTGTTTCGGTTGAACGAGGATATGGCAGTGAAATTACAGGGTATGGAGATGTGATTAGAATGGCAACTTATGACAGATACCACAGATATTACATGATAACGTGGTATACGTGTTGTTCAGGTATATAAACCACAGATACTATTTCAGTTATCAAATAAATAAAATTCTCGTGTCACAATGTCAGTTGCCATACTTCTTCGAAACAGTTTAACCGATTTTTATGAATTTTTATATGTATATACGGTAGGTCTGATAATGGGTTGTTATGTATTTTCTTTCACGACACGGTGGCCCAACCAAAAATGTTAATATACATAACTTCTACGATTCGGCAATAAACTTACATAAAACCCTAAATTATCAGTTTTCTACTATCAACCCTTATTTTTAAAAGCGTAAACGTTATTTTACCCTATAAATTAATACATTAATACATTTCTTATATATATATTTTTTAAGATCGTTGTATCTTTAGTTAATTTAAATGTATTTATTGTGCAATAAAGTGTTACAAACAAACAAACAAACAAACAAACAAACAAACAAACAAACAAACATTTATATGTTTAATATAGGTGTAAAGTTTGTCGGGTAAGCTGTGTATAAAATAAAAAATCTAATAAAATAAATAAAATATACAATTAAACAATCTTACCAAAACTTGATAAACTTTTTTAATTAGATTATATGCCACAATTATATCTGCGTAGATTAAGAACATTCTGTGCCAATAGTTCAAGTCCTTCACATTAGATACTTTTGTATGAAAAATTGTGGAGGACCATAGATTTAATTCACATGTTAGTATAGACACAACTTGCGTAATAAAAACGGGTATAAAATCAAAGAGAGTCAGCATATACAAACTTATAGTGTCAAATACAGATATATACCCAATTGCATATATTATTAGAGCGGGCATATAACAAATTAGTATTATTATTACATATAACCAATTTAGTACAACGAATTTTTTCAGTACTGTATTTTCAGGTGACAGTACATTATCTACTTTTTGTAGTGTTAATATTAAATTGACATTGTTTACACTATTACACAAATTAATTATAAAGTTAATAATGAACCCTATACCATATATAATTAAATCTATACATCTCGAGGTATATCTGTTACTATCCTCTTGATTTATCTCCAATACGCGTATCACATAAACCAAAATGAACATTATAGTGGCTTTAAATGATATGGTATTTAAAATAATTCCCGTAGGTGTAATAAAATTGTCCTTTATATAATATTTCTGGAAGAACAACATGCTTTGAAACATGTCTAGCGGTAGAATCATCACTTGAAAGTGTTTACTCAAACCATTGTTAATGAGTATTTCAGAATTTGTTACAAAATACGATTTGGAAGTCATAACTAAATTTTAACGTTAACTTTTAAGGTTGAATTTTCAACTTAAGTTCAATCGCATAAAACTTTATATATATTTTTTCTCCTTATTTTTTTTTACTTTGTAAGTTTAAATAGTTTCTTTCGCGTACTTTCACTAGCGCACTGATAAATACACATATAACTTAGTCGTCATATATTACCAATATTATCTACTATTATATAAACGCAAAATTCTTATCTTCTCTGATCGTCGTACCAATGTTACTTTGACTGTTAAACTTGCTTTGACATCTACGATACAGGCATAGCCTAATGTCAGATTATAGATAAAATGTTACTTAAGTTAAGTTTTCCGAAATAAAAGTATTTATTATTATAAAACACAATTGAATAAACAAAACTATTAAAATATTGGTTAGTTCATTCAATGATCACAAAATAACGCGCCAAATTATACAATTCAATGTCGACCGATCGGAATTGTTATGAAGAATATATTATAATAAATATCTACTACGGTCATTATACAAATAATATAATTTATTACTCATCTATGAAATATGAAAGTTTCTGACATGTTAAGTTTTAGATAATAATAGAAGCTTTAATGTTTAAGTACATTGTGTAAATTGTGTACTAAATTCACCCCATAGCAACATTTTTAATGGTATTTCAATTTTTAATGATATACCTATGTATATATGAAAGTACTAATATCATAAAAGCGGAAGTTTGTGAGTGTGTATGGATGGATGTTTATTACTCTGTCAGGTAGAAAGGACTAAATGGATTTTAATGAAACTTAACAATAACCTAAATATATATATATAACTCAAAGGTAACTGACTGACATAGTGATCTATCAACGCACATCCCAAACCACTGGACTGATCGGGCTGAAATTTGGCATGCAGGTAGATGTTATGACGTAGGCATCCCCTAAGATTTTTGATTAATTCTACCCCCAAGGGGATAAAATTGGGGAAGAAAGTTTGTATGAAACTTTGTCAATTTTAAACCGATCGGGCTGAGACTTTGCATGCATAAAGCTACTATGACGTAGGCATCCCCTAAAAAGGGATTTTGATAAATTCAACCCCTAAAGTAATAAATTAACGCGAGCGAAGCCGCGGGCAAAAGCTAGTATAGCTTATACATCAGAATAACAAATAGGCTACAATATTCAGTCGCGTGAAATCGCGGACAGAGCTAGTATGTATATAATTGACATCTTTGATAAATGAATCATAGGAAAAGATAGTTGTATTTTAGTATATTAAACAAAAGCTTTTTATTTTAAAAGCGCCGTGGTTTAGTGGATTACATTCCCGACTTCGATCCCAAAGGTCGAGAGTTCAAATACGGGCAACACAAAAGAAACTTGCGTGCATTTTATGTTACTGATTAACTATCCGATGATGGAAACACAGATAAACCAAATTGAGATTTGTATGGGCAGTGAATTTAAAAATCACATACAATGTAAAAAGAACTATATTCTATTATATTAAGCATACATAAATATTAAACATGTCCATAATCATAATATTTACATTATCATGGTAAATATATTATTTATATAATACTAGCGATCTGTCCCGGCTTCACATGGATGCATTACAAATGTTTAAAGTTCTCTGCTTGTTCTATACTATAACACGCATTATACAATTGCTGATAACTGCATTAAAATCCGTTGTGTAATTTAAAAGATACAAGCGAAGAAAGAGCGGCGCCTCGGCGTTTTTGATTTATACTACTCGTACTTACAGACGTATCTTTATAAGCTACTACTTATGTTATTATTTACTTTAACATTAAGAATTTTCTTAACATGTGACTGAAAGAACTGTAGTAATACAATAGTATAAGTAGTAAGTATGTACAGCAAGTGTAGGGGTAACTTAGAATCGATTACTATGAGGCCGGCGGCTTTTAATTTACTGTACATAGACCAAGTAAACCTCTGTACGTCTTTGCACATTCTTCTTAACCCATCTGAAAAAAAATAATAGATATATATATCGTTTCATACTACAATCAATATAATAACAATTATACACATTTATTTAGCAAATATATTATAATAGATACTATAGTGAGTATTACAATAATATACTTATTAAACTATAACTATCTTATATATAAAATTCTCGTGTCACAGTTTTCGTTCCCATACTTCTCCGAAACGGCTTGAACGACTCTCAATGTTGTGAGCGTATTGAGTAGGTCTGAGAATCGGCCAACATCTATTTTTCATCCCCCTAAATGTTAGGGGTAGTACACACCTAATTTTTTTTTTATTTTATGGCAAAACAACGTTTGTCGGGACAGCTAGTTATTTAAATATTATTCTTCATGAAAAATCACATGCTTCAGTACTTAAAGAATTCCTTAGCAGATTCTCTTAAAAACAGAGCTTACAAGAAAATTCTTTGAAATCGCACTATAAGTGACCATTTTATAAATAGTTTTTTTTATTATTTTAAAAGCGCCGTGCCTATAGGTTGTCTTGAATGTGATATGTAGTGTAAAAAAACTAACTATTTCACAACACAACTAGATTACAATTACATTTAATCTTGTAACAGCAAAAATGACAACATTACATATTTGAGACTAATATTGTTCATATGCTGTTTTAAGTTTGACGCGGTCATTATTTATAAGTATAATTAGTAAATCACGGGATCTTAACACGTTTTATTTTTGTTGAGTTCCCGATATTTCGGCAGTGTTTCAACGGCCGTGATCACGGGTAAACTGAAGAGCAGCGGGTAGATGGTAAATAAATCTTTTATGGGCAGACATATTCGTCTACCTTCACACGTCTTCGTTTGTTGTTACTATTGGAACTCGCTCGATATTCATCTCGGCAAACTGTACCCACAGTATCTTCACGTCTTAATACACTTTGTGATCGCGTTTTATGTTTTTGTTTAGTTAAACCAATCACTAGATTCCAAGCATTAGAGAGTTTATAGCCATCTTCCCGGTTGAAATTTTTATATTTCTGTATTTCAATCGGCTCTCTAACCATTCTTGGGATGTAATGTAGTTCTGATGCCAATACCTTCGGTTGGTGTTAGTTAGTAGTTCAATACAGTGATTGGGTCCCGATCCTAACAAATGATCCGCTATAGCTTTACGCAGATCGTTGTTTTTAACAACTTTTATGTATTCATTAATGCGACGGGCTATTGTTCTTTTTGTCTGTCCGATGTATGTATGAGCTTCCACAGCTGCAATCCACTTTTAACAAAAATAAAACGTGGTAAGATCCCGTGATTTACTAATTATACTTATAAATAATATTATTCAACCAAATATGAATGGGGAGCGATACATCTTACATTATCATATGGTTTGAGTATTCAGTAACAGAACGTAGAAGTAGAAATAGTTACATGTTACATGTTATGTATCAATATCAGTATAGTATCATGATAGATACCTACTTGAAAGTCTGTCTGAATTTAAAATCACGGTGCATGCAGTTTCTGCATCGGTTACAGCCAAGTAAAATCTTTCAAATGTCATACACATGCATGCAAAAATAAGGAAATCTTTCATCAGCCACGCAAAAAACGATGCTATTATTGCATACTCCAAAACCTGAAATTGAAGTATTCGTTTCTATATATAAACTTTATTTTGAGAAAGTCCACGTCATTACGTAATTAATTTGTATTAATTCGTTTAATTCCTCTAACATTAGTATGGTGAGATCACATATATTCAGTAAGGAAACCTGGCCACCGCTACTGGAAGCGTTACGTTAAATATTTGTCACTCACTCACGCTATAGATAACGAAAATAAACAAAAACTGGATTTAAATAACCGACGGTACCACATTTTCATGAATTAAAATGGAAAATTGAATATAATTTTGCATTCCCACAACCTAACCGATCATATCGACGACCTCGGTGGTCTAGTGGTTTAGCACACCGCTTTACGTCCGATGGTCGCGGGTTCGATTCCTCGCACGGCACAAACATTTGTATTCATGAGTATAATTGTTTGTGTCGGTCTGGGTGTTTTCTATATATAATATGTATGTATTTACGAAAAAAAAATCTATGTATTTGTATCAGTTGTCTAGTACCCATAACACAAGCTTTAGCTAGCTTAACTTGGTTCTAGATGGCGCTGTGTGAATTGTCCTGAGATTATTATTATTATTATATAATAAATTTCTCAATATTTCTAGAATTCCACTTTGTTTCATGGTGAATATGGTTCGAATTCATAAATGTCTTTTCGGCTTGAGTGACCATAGATAGGCAACATAATTTCTCTACTTACTGAACCTTTTGTAATTTCTCCACATCGAAGAATTGCTTTATAAATGTACAAAATAGTATGCACGAAAATTGCACATACCTTATATAATATCTGAAAAAAAAAAACACTATGTAATTATAAAAATATTTTTATTTTTCACTTATTTAGCACACCGCTTAACTTCCGATGCTCTAGGATTCCTTGCACGGCACAAATATTTGTATTCATGAGTATGATTGTTTGCATCGATATGAGTGTTTTCTACATCTTACCAGATGGCGGTGTACAAAATATATGTTAAGTAACATTTTTGCAAACATTACTTAACACTAAAACGTTTAAAGAAAGTACTCTTACCATGCTTTGATAAACAGTTTTAATCAGCCCATAGGCATGTATTATCCTTACTAATATTATAAATGCGAAAGTAACTCTGTCTGTCTGTCTGTCTGTCTGTCTCGCTTTCACGCCAAAACTACTGAACCGATTTAAATGAAATTTAGTACGCAGATAGTCTAGACACAGAGGAAGGACATAGGCTACTTTTTAATGCGTAAAAAGGGTTGTAAGGGGTTCAAAATGGAAATACAAGGTTATCTTTATGCGGTTGAATCCTTATTCGTCATCTTTTCATTACTATTCACTAGCTAAAAACCAATCAACACATCGCGTGCGTTTGCGCCATTCGCCATCTTTTCATTTCACTAGCTAACAACCAATCAACACATCGCGTGCGTTTGCGCCAATAAGGTATCCATCACAGAGAACAAAACCACAGATAACATAATGTAAAACGAAAGATCTTGCCGGAAACATGACGTTGACGTTTAGTGAAAATATTGTTTTTTGACACTTTTTTATGATAAAATCGTATATCCTGTGTATGTGTTTTTCTTTAAACCTGAAATTGGCCGATTGCGAGACAAATTTGGCGATTTTTTTTATTAATTTATTTTACGGCTCTGGATACAAGCCCAGTTTAGCCCAACTTAAAGTTTTACAATATAAATTACAAAAATTAAAGTCAATGTCCAATGTTAAATAATAATAAATGTCAAATGTTGTTTCCCTGTTCTGACAAACTTAAAAAAAAAAAAAAACTTAATAACAATCACAATTTCTTCACATTTTATTATTTACATTTTTTAAAGAATGTTGTGGTGTGGCACTATCCGAAATTAAATTATTTACCCATTTTTGTAGGTTATACAGAAATAATGTGTGGGTGTTTATTTAAAAAGCATCAACACAAAATTAATAAAGTATAGGTATTAATAACTATATGGTTGTTGTATCAAAATAGAATTTTCTTATTTTTCACTAAAATAAAAACTAACTGTCTCTTTTATAAAATAAATGACCTTTTCATTGTGCCATATATTATGGAACTATTTAAATTATTTAGCTGATTGTAAGAAACAAAATGTTGGTTTGTAGATTAATACTGTAAAATTATTATTTGTACGGAAACGATAAAAATATATTTTTGTGCTGCGACAAAAACTAATATTATAAATGTGAAAGTAACTCTGTCTGTCTGTCTCGCTTTCACGCCAAAACTACTGAACCGATTTGAATGAAATTTGGTATACAGATAGTCTACCCTGAGAATGGACATAGGCTACTTTTTAATGCGAAAAAAGTGTTTTAAGAGGTTAAAAGGGGGTTTGAAAGGTTGTATGGAAGAATCGTCATTTTTGAAGCTAGAAGCTTGAAACTTTTTGAGACTGTTGATTAAATATAAATACATATGACATTCAATGTTTGTAAAAAATTACCCTTAAGGGGGTAAAATAAAATAGGGGATGCAAGTTTTTATGTAAATTCGTCATATTTGAAGCTAGAAGCTTAAAGTTATTGTTGAGACTGTTGATTAAATATAAATACATATGACATTCATTGTTTGTAAAAAAATTAGCCTTAAGGGGGTAAAATAAAATAGGGGATGCAAGTTTTTATGTAAACACGTTATTTTTGAAGCTAGAAGCTTGAATCTTATTGTTGAGACTGTTGATTAAATATAAATACATATGACATTCATTGTTTGAAAAAAAATACCCTTAAGGGGGTAAAATAAAATAGGGGATGCAAGTTTTTATGTAAAATCGTCATTTTTGAAGCTAGAAGCTTGAAACTTATTTTTGAGGCTGTTGATTAAATATAAATACATATGAAATTCATTTTTTGTAAAAAAATTACCCTTAAGGGGATAAAATAAAATAGGGGATGCAAGTTTTTATGTAAAATCGTCATTTTTGAAGCTAGAAGCTTGAAACTTATTTTTGAGGCTGTTGATTAAATATAAATAAATATGACATTCATTGTTTGTAAAAAAATTACTCTTAAGGGGGTAAAATAAAATAGGGGATGATAGTTATTATGTAAATTCGTAATTTTTGAAACTAGAACGATGAAACTATTTTCATTGGTTCTTTTGGGGTAGATTTTTAAATACCCCACTAATGCTATAACTATGAAAGTAACTCTGTCTTTCTGTCAGTCTTACGCTCCAAAACAAAATAAAAATTTAAATGAAATTTGGTACACAGTTAGTTCACACCCGGACAAAGAATATAGGGTACTTTTGAATGTGAAAAAAGGATTGTAAGGGGGTTGCAATGGTACGCTGTATGGAAGAATCGTCATTTTTTAAAACTAGAAGTTTGAGACTCATTTTTAGGCTGTTGTTTAAATATCAATAAATATGACATTCAATGTTTGTAAAATTTTTACTCTTACCCCCCCTGGGTAGTAAAATAAAATAGGGAATGAAAGTTATTGTGGAAATTTGCTGTTTGTGTGGTTGTGGAAGCTAGAACGATTAAACTTTTTTCTTTGTCTTTTTAGGGTTAGTTTATTAAATACCTTACTGATATTATAAATGTGAAAGTAACTTTGTCTATTTGTCTCGCTTACACGCCAAAAATACTGAACCGATTTAAATTGAAATTTGAAACAGACATAGACAGACTAGATCCTGAGAAAGGACATAGGTTACTTTTTAATGTGAAAAAGGGTTGCAAGAGGATTGAAAGGGTAGATCCAAGGTTATATAGATGTATCGTCATGTTTAAAGCTAGAAGCTTGAAATTTCTTTTTTAGCCTATTGATTAAATATTTATTTTTATTTTTTATAATTTTTTAAGCTAAAATGATTAAACTTATTTATTTGACTTATATTGTGTTAATTGAGTTAAATATTTTTTCATTATTTACGCGGACGAAGTCGCGGGTACAGCTAGTTTGTTTATAAATTAAAAACAATTTATTCCAATTAAATTCATCAGACGCCGACAATTTGTTTCGAACTTTTACTATTGACGTCCACACATTCAATTCCGATTTTAAAAATGATATGATTTGAGTTATATAAATGAGTATTAAATCAAAAATGATCATACCGAAGAAACTTATTACATCCATGAAACTAAGAATACCAAAGAGTAATGATAGCAATGTGGGAATGTGTAAAGAAAATGCAATTGATGTAAATATCCAATTTAGAATTGTATACTTTTTTAACGTTGATTTGTCATGTATTAATGTATTTACGTTTTGTAATGTTAAAATTAATTTAACATTATTTTTACTATTAATTACATTACCAAGTAAATTAATGAGATACCCTGTGTTGTATATGACGGTATCTATACATCTCGACGTGTATCTAAATCTCTCTTTATCTCTGTCTATTTGTCCTGCACGTACAAAACAAGATGTAGCAAATACTAGAGTTACATATAGAGATATTAAGTTTAAAACAATTCCGGTTGGTGTTATGTAATTGTCTTTAATATAATATTTGGGAAGGAGTAATATGTTTTGATAAAAATCTAATGGCAGAAGCATGGCTTGAAAGTCTTTGTTTAGTCTGTTGTTTATGAGAACTTCGCAGTTAGATGGAAAATATGATGGTTTAGTGATCATTATTTCGTTTTTTATTTATATATAAGCAAATATTTGTATATTTGTATTAACTTTCCAAATATTGGAATTTTTTTCTCACAGGAAATATTTGTAGAGTATGTTTATAATCAACCTTCTTATTGACTCTTAAAATATAAATGACGAAAATAGTTCAATAATAACTGACGCTTTAATGATAATGTTTCTGAATAATATTTATTTGTAAATAATGTAAGCATATTAAATATGTAAATGGTACTACCCTCAAAAGTTATGTATGTAGGTGTAATTAAGTTATTTCTTTGTTTGTATATAAACTTGTCTACTTTGTTGAATTGACGGTTTACCTTGATGTGAGTAACATAATATTAAATACCTATTAGAGAAAACGCTCTATAAGAAGAATTGAAGTGT